AAGGAGGACAAAATCACAGCTCCTTGAAAATAGTATCATTTAAAAAAAATAAAATGGGACTAATAATAATAGGTTTGTTGTGAAGATGACCCAATGTCTTCTATGAAACCTATTACCACAGTGGATGGCAATAGTAAAAGTCCAATAATGTTAGCCATTAATATCCAAATTGAGCAAACTGCTTTAATTATCTATGCTGAGGCCATCAGTGTCCTGCAGTGTTTCTCAAACTTTGATCCACAATAAATACATTTGACTTCAGGGAACATATACTGTATATATGTGTGTGCATATATGCAGAATATTTTCACAAAGCAATACTTATCCTTATTATTTAAGATGATATACTCTAATATGCCATATTAGAATATTTTATTCTATTTAGTTTTGTAAAACCTGGTGATGACAATTTTTTGACATGGTGTTGAGTCATGACCTACACTTTTTTGAGAGAGAGAGTGGAAGGAGGGGCAGAGGGAGGGAAAGAGAGAGAGAAAGAGAGAGAGACTTAAACATCTCCATGCTTAGCAGAGAGCCCGATGCAGAGCTTGATCCCAAGATCCTGGGATCATGACCTGAAACCTGAGCTGAAATCATGAGTCAAACACTGAACCCACTGAGCCACCCAGGTGCCACATGACCTACACCTTTAAAAACACAGACCTATACTTTTTTTAAAAAATATTTTTTATTTATTTCTGAGAGAAAGAGAGAGAGACAGCATGAGCAGGAGAGGGTCAGAGAGAGAGGGAGACACAGAATCTGAAACAGGCTCTGAGCTGTCAGCTCAGTCCGATGCGGGGCTCGAACCCATGAACCATGAGATCATGACCTGAGCCGAAGTCAGATCCTTAACCAACTGAGCCACCCAGGCGCCCCAGACCTATACTTTTAAAAACGTCCAGGCGTCCCATGACCTACACTTTTAAAACACAGCAGGGTAACCAGTGATATGAGCAGCAAAGAATTGCACGAAGAGTAGAGCAACAAGCAGTACAGAGTTTATTCACTCTCCAAGGGAGTAGAGGGGCCACACATCAAGCCAGATGTCAGACCTGAACTTCTGTTGGGAGGGGCCTTTTAAGGGTTTTGAAGGACGTGACAGGGTTACAGCTGTACCCATGGTGGGTCTGTGGGGAGGCGGTCAACTCTTGGACAGCTAGAGCAGGAGGTGGCAGGTTTTTTGAGAGGCTCTGTCTGGGGTTTGTGCAGGATGTGGGTTGTGGTCAGGCTAGAGAAGAATGTTTTGTAGCTGGGGTCTACTTTCTGAGAATGGAGGGCACCATGACCTAGAAAAGCAAAGAGTTAGGGCCAAATGCAAACACCTGTGAGTTTTGTCTGTAAGCCTGGTTTTACACTTTCAGGAAGTGTAAGCAAAAGCTTTGAAAATTCAATTCCACCATTCCCTTGCTCTGTGAACCTGGGCAACTTACTTGTCTCCTTGAGGCTCATTCCCTCAGCTATAGAGTGGAGATAATGGCCCCTATTTGGTAGGATTGTTGAGGGGATTGAAGGCAATGCAGTCACACAGTAAGCAAGTGTTCAATAAGTAGTAATTGTTAGATTATACTTAAAAATGTAATATTCAATTATTTTAAAACTTTGATGTGCACTCCATATACAAAATGCTTGCCTCTCAAAGCCATGCTTGGGCATGAATTATTTAAATCTAGCATGAACAAGCCTTCTGTTTCACATCAGAGTTTTACCTTCTGTCTAAATTCTGAACATTCCAGAACTGTCTCAGAAATCAAGAGGAAAGTGGAAGAAAGGGTGGCTGATAAATATCACCAAACACATACTGGGCAGTAGGCATTCTTTTGTTGGTCTTGGAGTGCCAGGGGTGGTCAAGAAGAGTGGGAAGTACTCTTTATGGTGATTCCTCTTCCCTATCTCCCAGAACACGTCATGAATTCCTCCACCACTCCTTTTTTGAAATGCAAATCTGATCTGCTGAAGGCCTCCTGTACATTTGCCCAACCCAGAGCCCTGACTCCCAGGGGGGCTGATGCCTCCACTTAGGCTGCACCATAAACTCACAGAGCACCAGAGCTAGAATACTTTCAGCTTTTATATGGAGAAAATGAGTCTCTGAGAAGTGGGAAGACTTGCCCAAGGTTAATCAGCAAGGGAAGGACTGGCCCTGAATCTATTGAAGGAATGATCTACTGCACTTACAACTTACATCCAGATTCCCCTCACTGAGAGATGATAATGATGACAGTGACAACACTGACATAAGGACAAATGATATTTGTGGGTCCACACCCCAGTATTCCTTCTAGACTCTACCTATATAACCTTCAGAAAACGCTGGACTGCCTTAGGAGAATTTCTGGAGAACTATGTGAGATTAGACTTACTTTAAATTCCAGAACGCAAAACATGAATGAGTGTTTTCACATTGGTAGGAAGCAAGGTGCCACTAATGTGCATCTATTGCCCAGTACATGATAAAAACTTCCTTGATGTCTCAGTCTTCCTGTCTCATCTGATTTTGGATACAAAAAAGGTATTTCCCTTTAATTCACTATGCATGACTAGAAATGGTGTATGCTATTTCTAGAAAAAAATAATTTACTCTCAAAGGGCAATGATTTGCAACTATTCATGAGATTCAGAAATGTGAGTTGTTAATTCTTAAAGTAATTCCTAAAGACAGAGCCAAGAAAGAAGAAAGGTCCTAGCATGTTATTTGAAATATACCATCCCTAGGTGTGCCAAAATCTTTGAAGCAATGGTAGAATGTTGAAACACATTTGCAATTCCTTCTCACAGCACATGGCTGCTTTGAAGGGGTCAATACTCATTTGCATGGGTTACTTCTTGTTTATGTGTTAACAATTAGTACTTCTTTCAAAGTCATATCTCAGTTACCCTAGTATCCCTCAAGCAGAAAATATCCATGGGTCAAGCATCTCCAAGAAGAGCAGAATCCTCCCATTCTAGATAGGAAAGAAGTCTGTATTTCCTTGCTTCTAATTTCACCTGGGGAACTTTCTCCTTGTGTAAACATTTCGTTAAAACATTATTGTCCTACTTAAATAACATTTTAAAGGTACTACCTTCAATAAAAAGTGTATAAATCTGTGAACCAGAGTGGGCAATCACATTCTATCCCTTTCTTTCCTTACCTAATAGACTTAGAGAAAATGTCCTTTGGGGAACTCTGCTATAAGTATCCAAAGGTGGCTATACAGAAGATCAGTGATGACTATAAAATATATTGTGAAAAAGCACCTAAAGTAGGTAAGTGTTTACAACTCAGAGAAAGATTTGAGGCATTCAGGTAAGAGAGAGGCATATCTCATATCTCAAGAGGCATATGCCACGAGAAGAACTATGCTTCTTTTGAAATGAGGAATGGTCAGGGGAAAATGGCCATGTCTTTTTCTTTCCTACACAACCATTAAAGGGCATCATGAAACTGGCATACAATTATAAATGAATGAGGCTAGTGATGAAAATTGTTAATTCCTACCTTCTTAACTAGTTATCACTCTGGTGTTTCACATAATGCAGATGTGTCCTCTACCAAATTTCTTGGAGTTGGAGATGTGTGAGGAGGTTTGTTGGCATATGTTCTTTAATCATAACACCTTTAAAGAAATGGGGAAAAGCAAAATTAGCAAAGGCTGAACTGCAGGGTAGTTACAGTAGGCTTCACCAGATCCCATAGAAGAAGCTCTAAAGTTCAGATGGCCCTTTGGAGTAGTCCTTCACTACAGTAGGGATTTTTTTTTTTCCTTTTGAATTGACTCAAAGGGATTTGGCTGCCTGAGGGGAGGCTATAACCTCAGGCATCACCCTTTGGCTGAAGCAATACCCAGAGGGGGCCTCAATCAGTCAGCTATCTGCAGAAAACACCCCAGACAGCTGGGGAATGAGTGTGTTGGTCCTAAAGGGCGGATCTAAGCGATGCATCACAGCACCCTCTAATGTCCACTTGCTTTGTGTAGAAATTCCACCCCATCTTGGAACAGTTATACCAGGATTCTGGTTGGTTCCTTTTCCTAGGGAGCTTATACTGAAGGGCTGACTCACACTACTACAGCTTGTCTGGAGACCACAAGTACTCCTCTTTTCCTCCCCTGACTCCCACCCTAGAGTCCCTTTATTCCCGGCTAATGTCTCTGCTGGTCTTGGGGGATTTACCTAGAAGGATGACCTCCATGTCATTCTTGTCATCTCTGAAGGACATGTGCCCCCTGATCATCATGACTTCTCAGGCTGTGGTTGCTCCACTTGACAATCATCAAACTTGGGTAGTAGAATACCAAGAGTGCCAAATGAATTCTCTGCCCCTGCTGTGTTACTGATGAGCCAGATCATACTGGTGATGATGATAAGAGTCAGTTACCCTGCCAATAGAGTAACTCCTTTGCTTGCCTACTAGCCTCTTGGCCTAAGGAGCTTAAAAGTGACTTAGTGCCTACTGGATCCTTAGTAGAAGCATTCCTTCTCTGGGAACCAGGATCTCTAGACTGGCACTGTCCAGTACAGGAGCTACTAGCATCATGTGGCCATGAACACTTGAAATGTGTCTGATACTGGGGTGCCTGGGTGGCTCAGTCGGTTAAGCGTCCGACTTCGGCTCAGGTCATGATCTCCCAGTTCATGGGTTTGGGCCCCACGTCGGGCTCTGTGCTGACAGCTAGCTCAGAGCCTGGAGCCTGTTTCAGATTCTGTGTCTCCCTCTCTCTCTGACCCCCCCCCCCCACTCACGCTGTCACTCTCTCTCTCAGAAATAAATAAAACATTAAAAAAATGTGTCTGATACAAATAGGTTACATAAAATACATATCATTAAAATTAATTTCATCCTTTTTCTTTTATTCTTTTTAATATGACTCCTAGGAAATTTAAAGCTATATGTGTGATTCATGTTATATTTCTATTGGACAGCACTAGTCTAGACCCCTGCACCTAAAGTTGTAAGGATTAGAAATTTTCCTAAGTAAATCATTGATACTGATGGTAAATGGATTACTATTACTTTTTTCCCTTTCCTCCACACCCATGTATTCTACTTATTGGAGACACAACAACTAACAATGGTCTTCAGTTTATCCTGGAGGTTGATGTCCCATTTCCTAAGATCATATCCAAGCTGGTTTCACAGCTACATCATCAAAAAACAGTTCCATTCCTCTACCAGGCCAGCAGCTCTCCTACTTAATAGAGCTACTGGATCCCATCATCAAATGCCCATTGTCAACCTCCTGGGATGAAAGTGTATCCCTCAGTCAGAGACAATGTTATGTGTAGGATCTTATTTGGGGATCCTGTAAGCCCCCTGATAGCAATGCTGACTGAGGTCTTGCAAGTAGGAATCCTTGTCAATTCGAGTCAAGATGAATTGATGCCCTTTCCAGAATAGATGTGATCCAATGTCATCAATTTGCCACCAAGTAGGTGGTTAGTTTTCTATGAGGGTTGTTGAAATACTTGGGCTTGGCATTTGTCCCTGTTGCTGACAAGTTGAACATTTGGCAGCAATGGTAACTAAATCAGCTTTGGTGAGTGTGGGGCCTATGCCACCGATTCCATACACAACTCCATTCCTGCCATCTAGCTACTCTGTTCATGAGTTCATTGTGTCAGCACTAAGAATTATGGCAGAGATTTGCTGACATCAACTGTCCAATCATTCTTTCTACTTGGTTGTTTAATGCCTCTTTCACAGTGGCTGTTTATTAGTGGGCTTTAAGACACAATCTAGGGGCACCCGGGTGGCTCAGTTGGTTGAGTGTCTGACTCCTGATTTCAGCTCAGGTCATGATCTCATCATTCATAAGATCAAGCCCCACATCATGCTCTGTGCTGACAGCATGGAGCCTGCTTGGGATTCTCTCTCTCCCTCTCTCTCTGCCCCTCCCCTACTTGTGCTCACACACACTCTCTCTCAAAATAAATATAAATAAACTTAAAAAAAAGACACAATACAAAGATTTTCATTCTCCATGCTTACTCTCATAGATCCATCCACATGTGTCTATGTGGACAGACTCAGACTTTCTTGCTCCCAGTACTCTTTTTAATAAAGGCCTTATTTGTTTAGAGTAGTTTTAGGTTCACAGAAAAATTAAGAGGGATGTACAGAGATTCCCATATGCCCTCTGTCCGACACTTTCACTCTCCCATCATCAACATGCCCCATCAGAGTGCTACATTTGTTAAAATTGATAAACCTACATTAACACATTATAATCACCCAAATCCAGTTTACCTTAGGGTTAACTCTTATATTTGTACTGTCTATGAATTTGGAAAATGTATAATGACATGTATTCTTCATTATCATGTCCTACAGAGTATTTTCACTGCTCTGAAAAACATCTGTGCTCTAAAAGTCCTAATAAGCTTCCACATATTCATACCTCCCCATACTGCCAACCCAAGGCAACCACTCATATGTTCACTGTATCCATAGTTTTGCCTTTTCCAGTATATCATATAGGTTGAAATCACATAACATGTAGACTTTTGAGATTGCCTTTTTTCACTGGAAATATACATTTAAGCTTCCTCCATACCTAAGTTTTTCTTGAGAGCCCATTTCTTCTTAGCACTGAATAATATTTCATTGGATTAATGTACCAGAGTTTATTTACCCATTCACCTACTAAAGGACATCTTGGTTGTTTTCAAGTTTTGACAATTATGAATAAAGCTGCTATAAACATCCGTGTGCAGGTTTCTGTGTGGTCTTAAGTTTTTAACTCCTTTGGGTAAATACCAAGAAGCACAATTGCTGGATCTCACAGTAATAGTATGTTCAGTTTTATTAAAAAGTGCCAAAAAAAAAAAGTGCCAAACTGTCTTCCAAAGTGGTTGTACAGTTTTGGATTCCCATCAGTAATGAAAGAGAGTTTATGTTGCTTCACATCCCAGTCATCATTTGGAGTTGTCAATTTTGCAGATTTGGGCCATTTTATTTTATTTTTAAATGTTTTATTTATTTCTAGGAGAGAGAGAGAGACAGTGTGAGCAGGGGAGGGTGAGAGAGAGAGGGAGTCACAGACTGAAACCGGCTCCAGGCTCTGAGCTGGCAGTCAGCACAGAGCCCTGCGCGGGGCCCGAACCCACAAACCACGAGATCATGACCTAAGCGAAAGTCAGATGCTTAACCGACTAAGCCACCCAGGCGCCCCAGATTTGGGCCATTTTAATAGGTGTGTAGTGGTATTTCCTTGTTGCTTAATTTGCTTTTTTCTGATGATATACAGGAAAGATGTGAAGCATCTTTTCAAATGCTATTTTCTATGTATATAATCCTTTGCTGAGCTGTCTGATAAGGTTTTTGGTCCACTTGTTAATCAGTTTGTTCATTTCCTTATTGTTGAATTTTGAAAGTTCTTTGTATATTTTGAAAAACAGTTCTTTATGAGATATGTTTTTTGTAAGTATTCTCTCTCGTTCTCTAGTCTTCTAATGGTCTTTCACAGACTAGAAGTATTTAATTTTAATGAAGTACATCTTATCAATTATTTCTTTCAAGGATTGTGCCTTTGCTATTATATCTAAAACATCATTGCCAAATCCAAAATTATCTATAGTTTTCCTATGTTATCTTCTAGGAGTCTAACAGTTTTGCATTTTACATTTAGGTCTCTGATACATTTTGAGTTCATTTTTGTGAAGGGTATAAGGTGTCTTTCCACACTGATTTTTTTTTTTTTTTTTTTTTTGCATGTGAGTGTTCGGCAGTTTCTGTACCATTTGTTGAAAAGACTATCTTTGCAGCATTCTATTGCCTTTGCTCTTTTGTCAAAGATCAGTTGGTTGTATTCATGTGGGTCTATTTCTGGGCTTTCTGTCCTTTTCCATTCACCTATTTGTCTCTTCTTTCACTCATACCACATTTTCTTGATTACTGTTGCTTTACAGTACGTTTTTTTTTACAGTAAATCCTGAAGTCAGTCAGTGTTAGTCTTCTGTCTTTCTCATTCAATATTATATTGGTGATTCTGTTTATTGCCTACCCTTAGAAACTTAGGGTCAGTTTTCTAACACAGGTGTAACTCATTTTATTGTGCTTCATTTTATCATGCTTTGCAGATGTTTTACATATTTTTACATATTGAATGTTTATGGCAACCCTATGTTGAACAAGTCTATAGGTCCTATTTTTCCAACAGCTTTTGCTCACTTTGTATGTCACATTTTGGTAATTCTTAAAATATTTGAAACATTTTTATTATTATTTTATTTGTTATAGTGATCTATGATCAGTGATCTTTGATGCT